CGCCTAACGTCTAGACCAACTGAGCTGGTATCCGACGATGTTCATAACTAACTTTGATCAATCTAAGGATTGATTTACGATGTCGATGAGAAACAACAATCTCGATAACTCTATAATGAAAAATTATATTGTTTGAATATCTTCTAATTAACATCTGTACAAGTGAAATACAAACAAGATTAATAAATTAGAAATTTAATGATAAATTCATTATTTTAACCGATACTTATTTAATAAATGTCAAATGAAAGAAATACAATTGTAGTAGTACTAAATAGAAATTAATATGGTTACACTTATACATAATTTAGACACCCGACCGTAGCTGCTACCTTGACGTGGTGGTCGGGCTTGACTATCGTGATGACCCAACCGAGCTATACTGACTGGAACATATGTTCCTGAACGTTCTACCATGCCAGGCAGGTCGATCGGAGAACAATGAGACTAAAAGCAGCTACCCAAGGTCTGAGGGCGAAGCCGTACTGCTGACTGCAGTAGGTGATTATTATAATCTCATTGAATTTATCATATATACACATTTATCCTCATATATAATCTTGATCATGGATTATGATACGTGTATGCAACATGGTAGTGTAGTATGTGTGTATGAGATATGTATATATACCGACTTTCTGCATTTCTGATATGGTTTATTGAAAAAGTCTATCATTATTATTGGTGTATTACTGAACACCATTGTTGTGTTTTTAATTTGCTAGTTGACCATTTGACATTAGCATGTCTTGAATGTATATGTAATGTATCTTAAATTTAATTAACATTCGACTTTTATTATCGAGTTTACGTAAAATACTACGGATTCGTTGGCCAGATACTATAAGCAATAACCTAATGTGAGAGAGAACAAACCAGATTCAAGTGGAGGAAGAAATCAGGAAGAAATGGTGGAAGTGGATAGGATACACACTGAGAAAAGCACTCAACTGCGTCATAAGACAAGCCCTCACATGGAACCCTCAAGGTCGAAGGAAAAGAGCAAGGCCAAGGAACACATTACGCCGAGAAAGACATGAGAAGAATGAACGAAAACTGGAAAGGGAAGCCCAGGACAGAGTTGGTTCGAAAAAACTGGTCGGGGGTAATAGGCGTAAGTTTTTTTTATCAAAGTGATTAGTCGACAGAATATGTATGAAGTGGGGAAATATATTTTATTGCTATTATAGAGTCAGACAACGGACCACACTAGAAAAATTAGAAGAAATGTTATTGAAAAAGCCACAGTAACCGAATGGATAAACTTGAGAAAAATCAGCTTCTATGTGAAAAATGTATACAGAAACAGTTAAAGTAGCTTAGGACCGTTTCATGATTAACGTTTATTTCAATTAACTTAGTTAAAAGATTTAGGCATGTGGTTAGTTTCATAAGTGAACTACCACAGAAGCAGATTCAACTTCTAGATCTAAATATTTAAATTAATGTTATGCTTGAAACTATTACGAGTCCACCACAGTCGGTAAACGAGAGCGAAGACATATGATCCGATGACACGATAGGCTACTCCAATCCAAGCGTCCCAATGCCCCACTAAGTAGAGGAAAAAGTCTTGACAAGACTCTGAACATCTATTTTACAAGCAACCAGGAAATCGAGGTCAAAAAGCACACAAATCGGGTTTATTTAAACATAGTAAAAACGTCCTTGGGACAGTCACAAAAATAGCGTAATAAAACAACACACCAACCAATGACAGTCAATGATTGTCCGGGTGAGAAATGTAAGTTGAAGATCAACTGATCAGCTTATGCTCGAAAACATAAAATCCAAAATTAGGACCTTCATCAAGTGAGTTCTGGGGATCTAACATACCCAACAATTAACACCGTAAGTGTAAAACAAATTATAACCTCTCGTCGGGGAAATGGATAGACTATTTCTTATTGAATATGCTGCCGACGTGTCCCATATGGAAGTCAATGAAACTTCTAGGTCAAACTATGAAGATCTTTAATTTTGTCACCCCGTTTATGAGTTGAAATCTTCCACTAAAACAATTTACATAAAGCACACTATTTGACAAACTGTTATGATTTATCAGCCTAATTTAATGGGAATCACATACTTCCTACCATTTGACCAAACCAATAAAGCAAAAACAACAAACTTAAGAATGTCAAAGATCGAATAAAAATATAGAATAATCACGTGTAACGAATACATGGGAATTTATTGATCTATACAAAAGATATGTGAACGAAAATTATAGCTAAATGAGTTAATTCGCTTATTCATGATAAACTACCAACACCTTTACTTTTCGGTTTTATGCGCGTTTCAGACAGAATGCAATCTATTGGCCTGAAATAAAATCATCTTTGAATTCATGAACATTTTTACCAGTTTACTTTGAGAAAAACGATTAATATTCTTGCTGGCACAATAATTGCTGAGTATAAGCACCAACAAGAACAAAAGCATCAATACAAGTATGAGAACCTGATTAGTACCAAATAGGATACAACACTATCATTGTAAATGTTCTCACTTCTTACGCTGCTTTAGAATTCGCTTAAATTAATGATGATTATATCACAATTCATAAGTAAAAATGATAAGAATATTTAGAGTGTACTGCTCTAATTAAATTTACTAGCAAAACTTTCCTTCATACGTTATTAGCAGAGGTAGTTAATGGTTAACAATAGAATCCGAGACGTGTGTTTGATCTAAGACTCGTTAGAAAGATGTACTTTCATCTCCGGGTTGATGTTCACTCTGATAGCTTGAAATACCGTTTCGTTGTCTACTTAGCTACTGAGTCTAGGATAACCATTCGCTTCGGTAATACAGTGAAGACTAACTCATTCGTGTTAATCGCTTGAATCTCTCATTGATGTTCAGGGCTATGGTTGATCAGCTTCTATGAGATATGTGCATCCTGTGTGAATTACCTTGATAATGCCTTTAGGTTGTAAACCGCTTAGGATGCACATCAGCCAAAAAAAACTGATCAATTACAATTTTAAACATCAATGAGATCCAAACAACTAATAGAAATGAATTTTTCCTTCATATGGTTATTGTATACTCATGCAAGTGTCATAAATACTTCCAATTACATGTGAACACACACAAACACCACCCGCTTGTAGATTTTGATAAAAGGCGAAGAGTTAACGTATGAATTGTAATAACATCTACAGTATTCAACCATTTATCATAATCAAAAAGTAGACTGCGATCAAGTAGTATGTATACTATGTAATAGTTCAAAGTGATAATTAAATGACTTGATTCCATCTTAATTTGATTGCTTTTATCTCTATCTTACGATCTCTTTTAATAATGAAAAGTATGACACAACAAGGTTAACCGAGCTTCACTCGCTGAACTAATAACAGAGAGTGGAGCAATTGACCGTGTCGACCGCTTCACTTATCTCAGATGCCTCATCAGTATTGAAGGTCTGGTGATTGACGAAATCTCAACACGAATACAGAAGACTCAATGGGCTTTTGCCAACTTGCATCACTTATGACGTGGGCGAGATACTCTTCTACTAACCAAAGGTCGAGTGTACTGTGCAGCAGTTCGCTCCATCCTACTTTATGGCTGTAAAACATGACCAGTCAGAGTGGAAGATATTCGTATGTTACTAGCATTCGATCATAAGTATCTTCAATGCATTGCTGGTATATCCTGGGACAACCGAGTAAGCAATGCTAGTGTCAGCAAAAGAGTACTAGATAAGAATGGCATATCAATTGATCAAGTAGTGAGACTTCATCAATTCAGGTTGTTGGGACATGTGTTACCAATACCCAACCACAGACTACCTCGACGAGAGGTGTTTTGTGGTGTATAAGTAAATTGGAAGATACCTAAGGGGCGGCCACACCAAAACATGGCAGAAATCCATGAAATCACTGACAAGTGGACTGAGTCATGTTGGTAAGTGTAGTCTACCTGGTTGAGGTCGATGGATAGAGACCCTGAATAACATGGCTCAAAACCGTTTGCAATGGCGCAGGTGCATTCATTCTTTGTGTCCTCTCAAACTGTAACCTTCAGAGTTCCTTATCACCTTTATCTTTTTTTTAAAGTTTATTTCACTAGATTCTACTTTTTGAATAATATATTCAAAACCTAATCTCTCCAATTACTGCTAATAATTCTACTAACATCTCCACGCTATTGGGTCTGTGTGATAATGTGGTGTATGGCAACTTGAACTGATGTACTTATGTATGAAGTTCTACATTGTTGTAACTGTCTGACTGACATATATATATATATATATATATATATATATATATATGTATATATATATATATAATCTTCTATCTAGCATAATATTATTCATACCATCACACTTAAATAAGTCTTTAACATGAAATCAATAATTGTAGAAAAAGACAAATCAAAACAAAACACAATAATCAATAACCGACTGTTTTTACATCGACTATCTTTAATTTTAATAATAATAATAATCATTATTTAAGTACAATTAACGATTATTCTTTTTTTTCTCAAGCAATTCTTCATATTTTTAATTCAATTTCAAGAGAATAGGCACAAGAAATAAGACCTCAACACAAATATTAGAATTCATCATCATCATCATCATCATTATAATATTGGAGAAGAAGAAGAAGAGAATTAAATGAAGGACAATGCAAAGAAAAAAAAAACCAAAACACAACTAAACTCAATTATCACACATTATTGTAGAAATGAAAAAAAGTAAAACACAATGTAATGACGGATCATATTTACTAGTGGTAGTAGTAGTAGTAGCCGTAGTAGCATTAGTAGTAATAGTACCAGTACTACCAGTACTACTGTTAGTATCAGTAGTATTAGTAGTAGTAGTAATGTATCAGTAGTAGTAGTAGTAGTAGCATTAGTAATAGTAGTAGTACTACTACCAGTAGTACTGTTAGTATCAGTAGTATTAGTAGTAGTAGTAGTAATGTTAGTATCAGTAGTAGTAATAGTGTTAGTATCAGTAGTAGTAGTAATATTAGTACTACTACCAGTACTACTGTTAGTATCAGTAGTATTAGTAGTGGTAGTAGTAATGTTAGTATCAGTAGTAGTAATAGTGTTAGTATCAGTAGTAGTAGTAGTAATATTAGTACTACTACCAGTACTACTGTTGGTATCAGTAGTATTAGTAGCAGTAGTAGTGTTAGTATCAGTAGTAAGTAGTAGTAGTGGTAGTAGTGTGTGTAGTAGTAGTATTAGTGGTAGTAGTAGTAGTAGTAGTAGTATCAGTAGTAGTAGTAATAATCAACAAAAAACCACAGGAGAATATGCAAATTGAAAGTGTAATCACCGATCAAATATAATTCATTCGTAAAACATGATTCGATTGTTTGTTATCATATCATACACAATAAATTCAAATTATCACAATACAAAAGAAAAGAAAAGAATAAAATAATGAAAAGAAAGAGAAAGAGGGAGAGAGGGAGAAAAAAAAGCGCAAAGTAAATTCAAAAATCTGTTTCATCATCATAGAAATCGAGAAAATTTACAAATGTCACACGTGTCACTGTACCATTCACTGTAAATGTATACTTGTAGTATGATCCATCGGCAGATAAAACTAATTCGGGGTGAAAACAACAACAACAACAAAAAAGGAGGTGAACGTAGAAGAACAACCAAATCAAACATAGAAATAATTGTAATTAGTTTTTTCCTCTACACATTTGAAATCATCAATCAATCAATCATTGTTAGACCACCATTGGAAAGCTGGAAGCACTGGACAGCCGTTTCGTCCTGGTATGGGACTACTCATCAGTGACAGTGCGCATCCAAGACTCCTACTACTCGCAGGATTCGAACCCGGGACCTTCGGCATTGTGTGCAAACGTTTAACCACCGGGCCAGCATCCAACGGTGTTACTCTCTAACTCTGATTGAACCAGGGATTTTGCGCGACCTCACTCATTTGTCATCGGTAGTTACTGCCTACACCCGACAGGGTTGAACTCCATTGGTCACGTCTTCTCAACTAGAACTCCAAGAATTTCCTCACGAAGCTAGTCACTAGTGAGCACATTTTACGATATTTTCAATTAGAGTTATGGAGATTAGTGCTCTTTTTACACATTTGAAATCATCAATTATTTCATGATAGATTTATGATAATTGTTGGTATACATTGAAATTGTGAATCATCAGTCAGGCATTATTTGGTTAAAAATAGAAACCTTGAAGTATTAGACAGCTACTTTGTTGTACTTTAGGGACTCTTTAGCATTGAGGATCTAAGAAACGACCATCCAGTGTGTTTGAAGGTTTCTAATAGTGATGGTCTAACAATGATTAATGATTCACAATTTCAATGTAAAACAACAATCTCCATAATTCTATAATGCGAAAGTCATAAAATATGCTGCTCACTAGTGACTAGCTTCATCAGGAAATTCTCGGAGTTCTAGTAAGCAGCCGTGGCTAGTGGAGTTCAAACCTGTCGGTTGTAAGCAGTAGTTACTGAAGACAATGCGCAATGTCACGGATCAATTTAAAGTTAGACATTAACACCAGTCGATGCCGGCTCAGTTTTCTAGAGGTTAAGCGATCGCATGTGAGATCGTAAGTCCTGGGTTCGACTCCCGCGAGCGGGAATCATGGATGCACACTACCTCATACTAGGACGAAACCGCCCTTCAATGATTCTAAGTTTCTAGTGGTGGCCTAAGATTGATCGATTCATAATTTCAATTAAACAATAATGCCCTAAAAATTATAAATGTTTAGTGGTTTGAAGATTTAAAAAAATCTTTAATCAATCGAAGTTTCGCTAGTCACAACTCGTATTAGAGAAGTTTAGATACAGATTTAAGGGGAATGATACTCTCGACGGGATTTTAACTTGAATCGATTAAAAAGAACATCGATTCGTAATGCTCATCAGTTATTACAGATTAAATAAATTTTAAATGATAAATAGGGACAAGGGTACTGCGCAGAAGTTCGCTCTGTCCTACAATAGGAATGCGAAACATGGCCGGTGAGAGTAGAGGCGATTCGTAGGCTATTAGTACTCGATTATAGACGTCTTCGAAGCATTGATCGTATAGCCTGGGACGGCCGAGTAAGCAATGCTATAGTTAGGAAACGATGAAGTAATGAAACCCAATCAGTTGAGGTGGTTGGGACATGTGTTACATATGCCCAACCTCCGACTGCCTCGACGAGCGATATTTTGTGGTGTAGGAGTAGGTTGGAGTAAAGCTAGGGCGGCCAGACCAAAACATGGCACAAATCCATGAAGTCACTGACAAGTGGACTGAGTCATGTTGGTAGATGTAGGCTACCTGGTTGGGGTCCGCGAGACGAAGGTCACCAATAGTTATAGATCTTGAACGATATAGCTCAAAATAGCTTGCAATCGCGCAGAGGTACATTTATGCTTTGTGTTCTTTCATACCATAACCTTCAGAGTTCCTTATCACATTAATCTTTTTTTTAAAGTTTATTTCACTAGATTGTACTTCTTGAATCATATCTTCGAACCCTAATCTTCTCCATTACTGCTAATACTTCTACTACCGCTACCATGACTGGATTTGAACTGACCGTTGCGTCTCTGTGCTATTGCGGTATGGCAACCTGGACTGATGTACTTACGTACGAAGTTCTACGTTGTAACTGACTGACTGAAATGATAAACAGAAAACTGATGGATCCTAAAACAAATTATACAAAGATCGATATTGTAGTTTAGATGAAGTGAGTTTTGTGAAGAAGAATGGTCTTATTTGGCATACCGTTGAAAAGCGAGAAAAATTGTTAGGATAGTTGTTGTTTCGTCTTAATATGGGACTTCTCACACTCTACTAAATCACTAGACACTGATACGATAATTGTAATGATTAGTTGATTTCGGCGAGATCTGAAGGTTCAAAGGTTTGATTTCTCGTGATGAATTCTATTGAGCAGTTGTAATACACGAAAAAGAAACAGATGTCTAGCTGTGCTTGGCACTCAATGGTACTGCAACTGAGATCAATCTGTAGCGAATATAAAGGACCTATGGACTTAGGTTGTGGTTAAAGGAAAAAATATTTTTATCCATTTATTACATAAGTAAATGTCAACTTAATGATACTTACCAATTAAAGTATCAGGATTGACAGAACTGAAAGCACAGATAGCTTTGAATTTCGTTTCCAAAACACATCGTACATGGCTTGTAGTAGAAAATAGAGAACGTGGAAAGAATTTACCGGAACTAAAAGTAGAAATTTTAAGTAGCATAAAAAACACGATACACCAAGGAATTCGGTCATTTTTTGTTGTTTTTAATAGTAAAAGAAGACATCATACCTTAATAAATGTATATAATTCTCTTTTTTGAAACCATGAATCGATCAATGTTAGACCACCATTCGAAACCTGGAAGCACTGGACGGCCGTTTCGTCCTGGTATGGGACTCCTCAGCAGTGCGCATCCACGACTCCTGAACCCCGCAGGACGTTCGCGCACAATACCGAAGGTCCTGGGTTCGAATCCTGCGGGGTCGTGGATGCGCACTGCTGAGGAGTCCCATACCAGGACAAAACGGCCGTCCAGTGCTTCCAAATTTCTAATGGTGGTCTAACATTAGTCGATTCATGGTTTCAAAAATGTGTAACTTAACAATCTTCACAACCCCGTAATGCATATAATTCTCTGTTGAAGTGTATGTAACGTAATAATTTTCTTTTTCTGAGAAATAATGCCAAATTTTGTTTGTTTATTATGAGTTTGTAATTTTCGGTTGTTGATGCTAAAGAAGTGCAACTGATCAATCTTGATTATCCTGTATGAATTCTGATGCATCCACTCTTTGTGTTCTTTTTAATTCCAACCTTCTGAATTCCTTATAATCTCTATCTTTCTCCTCCTGTCAGTCAGTTGCAACGTAGAACTTCGTACGTATGTACATCGGTTCATGTTGCCATACCACAGCACAGAGAAGCTGTTCCCCGACCGAAGCTGCTACCTTGACGTGGTGGTCGGGCTTGCCTATCGTCATCACCCAACCGAGCTATACTGGCTGGAACACATGTTCCTGCAGGTCCTACCATGCCAGGCAGGTCGATTGGAGAACGATGAGACTAAGAGCAGCTACCCAAGGTCTGAGGGCGAAGCCGTACTACTGACTGTGATGGAGTGGTGTGACAGCAGTAAGGTGTTCCCCTCGGACAACCAGCATCTGCACCCATGCTGCCTTCTCACAAGGAAGGAAGGGTTAGAAAAGGTCGACCCTAAAAATGTCACACCTCACCCTACCTCACGGATTTCCGTCTCCTTGGGTAAGGGTGCCCACTAAGGGCCTTTAAGAACGGAGCTAATCCTCAAAAAACGTTTCATAAAAAGGCCGTGCGTGATCGGCCTCAAGCAGTTGTCCCTTGGACTCTGCGGTCACGCTTGCAGGTCGTTCAGACCAACACTAATCTATCTTCCTTTTCAGGTCCCTCAAGAAACAACCTTCCACGGTGTGGGCAGCCGGGAAGTGCTAACCGCCCTCATACCCGCAACAGCACACGAGACCAAATTGTTCAAAATCAAATCTTTCTCCTCCTAAATTTATCTTATTGAATTATACTTCTCGAATCATATCTTCGCTCCCTAATCTTCTCCATTGCTGCTAATAATTCTACTATTGCTATCACTCTTGGATTTGAACTGACAGTTACGTCTCTGTGCTAATGTGGTATGGCAACCTGAACTGATGTACTTATGTACGAAGTTCTGCGTTGTATCTGTCTGTCTGTCTGTATGAATTCTGAACAGATTGCTTTGATATTAACATCCCTGTCCTGATTATACAAACTAGTGGATATTTGAACTCGACAGACCAATGGATAACGCGTTAAGTGTTAAAAGTAAAGATACGCGTGAACAGTATCCACTGAGATGTAAGTACATTCAACTGCCGAGCTCTAAATAAGACGAAACATATATCTTTGATCTTATTTCTATGATTCAACTATAATAATAATAATAATAATACTAACTTACTGTTGTTAAATATACAAAATACAACAGATGAATAAATCAAGTACGATCAAAAATCATTCATACTTATTTTGTCAAATTAATTTACATAATAATTCATGGATAAAAAAAAATGCTTGTATGTGTGTGCCTCCACATTTATTTGCATTCGTTTACATCTAATTCGGTTAAGCCCTTTCGATTAATTTATTTAACCAAGTCATTTGCATAGTAACAACTTACATGAACCATTCGATTTTATTATTGTCTGGTTTCTATGATCTGGTAAGATTGAATAGTGCTTACGCACATAAGCTTACTAATCTTTTTCGCTTTAATGTTAATCTTTTAATATCCCCTATGGACTCACATGACTTGTCTCGCTTGCTTTTGACCTTGTCAATCATTCGTCGCTTTTATTCATGTGTGTGCATGCCTATTTCGCTTGTCACAAGTCTGTCTTATTTTTGTCTGACTATATATTCTTAGTCATGCTTTATATCTCTTGGAGTTGGCTGATTAGCCTTCTCCAACGCGCTTCATCTTTCCATTCGCTTCCTTCGCCCATTCGTTCGCATTGTAATCCTGGAGTTGGCTCACTAGCCTTCTCCACATCACTTCATCCGTTCATTCGCCTATTCACTCGCTTGCCTGCTTTCCGGCGCTCGCATGTCGATTTTATCTTATAGCGCTTGTAGTTTGCTGTTCTACTTGTGGTGTGTCAAAAATAAACGTATTCAACACTTGGTGTTCACTTTCTGATTTATAAACCGTCAGACGCTAGTTAGTAACGATTGTCTGGACGAGCGAATTACCGAGCTTTAGAACACGCAGTAAATCGGCACACTACATGCTAATTGATTAATGCTGTTTATAGGTCAATATTTTGTCACAAAGAAAATGACAAGTATGTATGTTATTCAACTTAGGAGGGTCTACTGAATAGTCTGAGGGTTTACTATCGTACAAAATCAAATTTCGATAGATTAGATGATATTAAGTGAAGTAGTTAAGTATCACAGTTGTTTCAATTAGACGGGTAGGAAAACATTGACGAAACTCTAGAGAGATAATATAGCAGAACTAAGCTATACTCTCCACTCACTACAAAGTGTGCATTTAAAAAAAGCCAATAAACTCTCCCTCTCAATATATATAAACATATATATACATGGAGAGGTTAGATGAATGTAATTTCTTCGATTGCAACGTCTCATTATGTGAGTATGGATGATCGAGTTTCAAATCTCAAAGGAAACATCAATTCCAACAAGATTCTAGGTATGCCTAATTAACAAGTTTCAGAGAGCATGGGATATGTGTTACGAATGCCCGACCACCGACTGGCTCGTCAAGCTATGCTATGCGGTGTAGGAATAGGTTAGAAGAAAGCCAGGGGCGGCCAGATCAAAACATGGCACAAATCCATGAAGTCATTGACAACTGGATCGAGTCATGTTGGTAGGTGTTGAATACCTGGCCTGCGAGATGATATTAATCGATGGATAGAGACCCTGAATAACATGACTCAAAACCGTTTGCAATGGCGCAGGTGCATTCATTCTTTGTTTCCTCACAAATGCTGACCTTCTGAATTCCTCACTACCTTTTTTTTGAAAGTTTATTTCACTAGATTCTACTTCTTAAATAATATCGTCGAACCTTAATCCCTCCAATTACTGCTAATATTTCTACTACCTCTACTACTATGGGATTTGAAGTGACAATTGTGTCTCTGTGCTAATGTAGTATGACAACTTGAACTGATGTACGTACGTACGTACGTACGTACGAAGTTCTACGTTGTATTTGACATACATATATGCAGTGTAAGCAAATCAAACCATTAGAAACAGTATCATTATTCATAAGAAAAAAATGTTCAATAAACAACTAATACATTTAAGCAGACAATAACAACAACAACAACATACCCGAATCCAGAAGATTTTGTTAAACGAGGACTATTATTATTGTGAGTACTACTACCACTAGTACTACTACTACTATTAGTGCTACCACCACCAATCGATGGGATATTACGTGAATTCGATAAACAATCTTTTGTAAGGCAAAATATATGAGCAGTACCACGTTCACTAGTTACACATAATAAATCACTATCTTTATTAAATGATAACGAAGTAATTGTCGCTTGACTAGTACCACGTCGTAATTCATGCAATAAACTACAATCTTTCGTTGAGAATACACGAATTAATGTGCCTTTTTGTGATGCAGTCGCCAGGAGATAACCATCACGATTTAAACTGATTGATGCAAGTGGATTTTCATGTGCAATTATTTGTCTTGGTGGCATATTTGTGGCATTTGTTGATGATGGACAAATTGTATTGACAGGTAGTGGTGTATTTATATTGCCCATATTACTACTAAAATTATTATTATTGTTAATAATATTGCCAGGATTATTAATATTATTATTATTATTGTTTCCAGTATTGTTAAGGTTAACGCTACTACCAGTATTTCCAATATGTACTAATGATACAGTACCAGGTCGTCGTCCAGGGAATACAACCAATGGATTATCGGCACTTTGACAAACATAACATAATCCTGAAGGATTTGAACATGTATTTGATTCAAAAATTAATTGAGGTGATGGATTAAATGTGTACACTTTGATTGCATTTATCAGTATAATTATTATTCTATAGTGAAGAAAAAGAGGAGAAATACAAAATTGGACAATTTAATTTTTTCTAAACATAAAATTAAAAAATAAGGTAACTGAATATACATATCAATGGATGAAATTAGTTGATCTAAACTGTTATTAAAGGTTTACAGGCAGTTGTCATTTCTGAGTAGCCAATACTCTGGAAGCATACTCCTTGAAGCTCCTGAAAAATAAAACGGTTTAGGCGAGGAATTTACTACCTGAAAGTATTGACCACACTGCACAAAACATAGTTACCTAAGATCCATCACACAAAACATTTTGTAAGTAGTTTTAGACATTTCAGCTACATTCTCTAAAGATCTTACTCTTGGACGACAGAAATGAATGGAATAGTACGAGATTTGATAGTTTTAGAATTAACTTGACTTAACTTTCTCCATCTGTTATGAGAAAGAAACATTGTTGCAACTGCACGCTGCTCAATAGAAACACCTTAATGCTGTCACAGTCAGTAAACTTAACAGTACAGCTTAACAGGGTATACTTAGCAAGTACAACTTCACTGGAAAACTTTACGTTACTAGTTTTATTCTTATCGGTCTCTAACCAATCTGCTTGTCATGATAAGACCTAAACGAACGGGTATTCCATTCAGTATAACTCAAATAAGTCATTACGACAGAGAAATCTTAACCCCCCACGAGAATGTAGCAGTAGACGAAAAGAAGCTAAACGCTCAACTTAAGAAAAAGGTTATTACTAACGCTTTAAAGATAGAGATACTTTATAACTGTATTAAAAATGAAACAGAAAAAAGACTGTAAATATCAATCTTGAATGGGCCTAGAAAATTATTCGGTAAAACTGCGTATTTTCATAGACTCAGAAATATGTAGTTAGAGTAGACTATAAGGGAGGAAGTAGTTTTAAAGTTGATCAAATCCCTTTTAAAATAATACTATTCAATGATAAGAAGTAGTGTTTGTGCATTGGGATACGTGGTCATAGCATATGGACTGATGATATTATCTCCTTACTGAAACAGCAATAGTCAATCCCATAAAGCTTAGAGCAAAGATGCATCGGTTACAACTTAGATATTAAAATCTATGTGAATTATCGTTCTTTTTTTATGAGATAGCCAAAACCGATGGCTTATACATTAGCCGCAAATGCATCCATTATTTATCATACACTAAATTGACTATTTTACAAGCTGTTCAATACACTGTTACTACTATTGCTATTATTAGTAATACCTCGACTTATATAGTATCTTTTTTTCCTGGGATTGAGCGTTTTATTTTTGGTCAATACTAATAATGTACAATAAAATCAAGTCGGATGATAGATATTGATGTAACGCTAGCTTAGATAATTCCCAGCTAAATCCTATCGCTTAGCATCCTCTGACCACAATACACTGGACAAGTTCCCAAGAATCCAAAACACGGTTGAACAGGAAAAGATTACATTCCAAATAGCAAGGTCGGATGAAAATAAGAAGCCAAAGGTGATGGCGAAGGCGAAGGCCAAAAATAGATACAACGTTAGTCTATTTATAGCATTTACATGGAAAGCTTCTGGATAGAAATTCACGTGATTGACTGGATTAGATTTAACCAATCAGCATGCAGCTAACAATACGAGAATTTTCTACCTTGTTCTGCAAGAATCGATCAGGCGCTGATTGGATAGGAAATTAGCCAATCAGCGCGTAGCAACGCAGTCATGCTTTAATCCCATCTATGTCCAACTAACAGATATACTTATGGAGATCTGTTTGTTTATACTGACTATAGTCTATATATTGCACTTCAAAATCAATATTAGCTCAATATGATTATTGAATATGCTATATCTAAGAAAATCAATACGAATTAACCGACTAAATTGGCTAATTTAGTTGACAAATAACTTAGAGAAGTTGAAAGCAATCAATCATATGAGACCTTGCACCACAAAGTTGATTGTTAATCCATTCATTCAGTCAACATCATCAATGCACGTCAACTCAAATTGATGTACTTACTATATATTAACAAGACAATATGAAATTAACTAAATGAATTGTAAAGAAGTCAACATAATTAATTATTTGCATTAATGATAATCACAAACACTACAAAAATTGAGAATATGCTTCCAATAGGACAAGATGAAATGATATATGTGTAATAATAGTGGCATTCAAGATAAAGAGTAAAATGGATCTATATTACTATTGATTAATGTTTTCAATCGGATGACACCCAACTAGGTAGTGTACAGACAGACAGATACAACGCAGAACTTCGTACGTAAGTACATCATTTCAGGTTGCCATGCCCCATCAGCACAAAGGCGGAACTGTCAGTTCAAATCCAACAGTGATAGCAATAATAGAAGTATTAGCAGTAATGGAGAAGATTAGGGAGCGAAGATATGATTCGAGAAGTTTAATTCAGAAAGATAAATTTAGAAGGAGAAAGGTAGAGATTATGAGGAATGCAGAAGCTTAAAATTTCATAGAACACAAAGAGTGGATGCACCTGAGCCATTGCAAACGATTTTGAGCCATGTCGTCGTTCAAGGTCTCTAACCATCGGTGACTATCGTCTCCCGGACCCCAACCAGATAGCCTACATCTACCAACATGACTCAGTCCACTTGTCAGTGACTCCATGCATTTGTGCCATGTTTTTGGTTTGGCCGCCCCCTAGGTAGTGTACAAACACTAATGTAGCTTGGGAAAACACTTGTTATGTATTGATTTAACTGCCTTAGCTTATATTCAACCTAATTCTACATTAACTGACATACATTGCTCAATCGGCAGTTGAAATCTATTACAGCAATGCTTTGAAGACACTCATGATCAAAACTTTTACAGACCATGTCATGGAATAATAATACAGAGCAGGCTATACTCGTCCTTTGGTTACCACCAGACACACATCTCAGTTTCGCCATAAATAACATAAGTTGATTTCTTGATAACTGGGAGTTGTTGTGATACGTATATATGCAATTCATGCTAGTAGTAGTGTGGCTTAGAAATCCCGTCACTTAGTGCCACAAACATGGTGGCTATTCTGATTACAATCGAGATATTTATACTGATTATCGATCAATATCACATTCTTTCTAGGCTTTAGTACACACTAACTTCATTTCAACCTAACAATCAAACACAATGCAAATTACTGTTAAATCATTTAAACCACAGGTAGAGACCGACAGGTTAAAGGTCAATACAACAATCAATCAAAGATCGAGGTCAACAGGACAAGCTACGAGTCGAACATTTCACTTACACTACTTCGAAACAGGATTTTGTGCTGATAATATTGTTCAGAAGAACAATAGAAACTTCATAAACAAAACTTCTCTATGCACATTTAAACCAGTGGTTATATAACAACTTGATTGACAGAATTCACAATCACTGAACTAACTAAGAACTAAAAACATATCACAGAGTAATAACTATCATATAATGTGACCAATCTGTGTATGAAAGAAAGTTATTCCACTTGAATCATTATAAATGCACAAGTCTACTGCTTATTATCAATAATAAAATTGTGTACAAAATATATAACCTATTTATCGAATATGTAAGAAATTATTAATTCAATATGAATTTAGTCGTCATTATATACAATTTGTATATAATATGCACATATACAACAAATTTATTTGTTATTTTAACAATTGAATTACGTAAGTGTTCAATGTACAACAACAATAACTATAAAATGTAGATTTTGTTTTCTGTTAAAAAAATATTTCAAGTAGATAAACATTCAAAAATTCCATATCGAAATTTATTTAGTGAAATCAATTGAAATGTGAAATGTTATAACTTTTAAAAATAAAAGGTGTTTGTTTATATTATTGACTGTGTAAATAGTTTTCAAATAATGCAGTTTTAGTGGGTTACACGTTAAATCTGAATTAGGGCTCACCATTTTGGTGGCCCACGATATGACTCCAGTTAGGATGATCGATTGAGTATGCTATGAAATAAAACTATCCTTCAATTTATGTTATGCGTGTCAAATGATATGCTTGAAACTAACACGAGTTCACCTTAGTCGGTAAACGAGAGCGAAGACAAGTGATCCGGGCATCCCAAGGCCCCACTAGGTAGACGAGGAAGTCTTGATATGGCGTAGAAAGTGTATTTTACAAGCAATCAGAATAGATGGGGTAGACAAGCAAGCAAATCGAGTTTATTTATACAAGATAGAAACGTCATTGGGAGAGCCACAAAACTAGCGTACCTAAATAATACACCAACCAGTAACAGTCAAGGATTTCACGGGTGGAAAATGTAATCTCAAGGTCAAATGATCAGCCCATGCTCGAAAACATAAAATCCAAAATTAAGGCCTTTATTAAGTGAGTAGTTCTAGGGATCTAACGACACCAACAATTTCCAAATATTATACTTAGGCGAATCCCGTTTGTGCGACAGCAGTAATAAGAAGCCAGTTGAATACAGATTCAGTTGGATAAATTAATTTCATGCAATCGTTCACACAGACAGATATAAGAATGAAAAGCGTAAAGGCAAAGTGAAGAGAAATGGAGAAGGAGAGCATGACTAAGCCACTTATAGTCAGGCTAAAATAAGCTAAACACGTAATAAGCCAAGTAAGCAATGCCAAAGTTATAAGCGAATGATCAACAAAGTGGAAAGATGAAAGAATAATAACTCGGAAAAAGGTTTAAATTAATTTGTCCAAAAGCTAGGACAAACCACATAGGCTCTGCATACTGCGACACATATTAGAATACGGCACAACAGGTAATCAAAACGAAAAATTCGCAAAATATCCAATACATACAGTGTAATTAAAGTTCACATGATGACTGTAATCAACGGTAAATGTTGTAGGGCTTTATTAAAGTTCAGTTACAATGTTTCGACGTAATATACTGAGAAACTTGTTGGACCTATGCAACCTTGAGTTTTACTCACAAAGTATTGTATTGATGTAACCGACACTTCTATCACTAGATTTAGTGTTGAGATCAAGAACAGATGCGTAGTGTAAAGGAAGCTCTTGACTCTTTTAGCTTGAATCCTACTATGCATTTATGCATACCTTTCCGTTTTGTTATTGCATTTAATCAATCCTAAGAATATTCAAATGTTGTTAACAATGACGAAATGCTACAAGCATGAATACATGGCGGCTAACATTGGAATCCAGGACATGCGTTTCACCTTATTTAAAATCTAGATAGAAACGATAATCGCAAGTGCTTCTTCTTGTGTTGTTCAATTTTCCACATGACCATTAACTTCTTCTGATTGGTTGTCACTGCTTTAAGTTCAAGAATTGAAAGTAATATTTCTGCTATGAGATATACGGAACTGTGCCACCTCAAACAAAAAGTTTTCCAATAATTTATCTTCTCCTTTTATGTTAGTCGTCCGGCACTGATGTCTGTGTGTTAGTTGCTATTGGTAATTTTGAAGAGAACCAACTGTTTTAGAGTAGCTCTATTGTTTTCCTAATTCCGCAACATGGACTGGACTGGACTTTCGCCTGTTACCCCAATGCAGCATAGGCCGCCCACCAGTTTTCTTAAACCAACTCTGTCCTGAGTCTACCGATCCATTTCTCTGCAATTTTCGTTCATTCCTCTCATATCTTTCTCTATTTCTCGGCCTAATGTGTTCCTAAGCCTTCCTCTTTTCTTTTTACCTTAAGGGTTCCATGTGAGGGCTTGTCTCGTGACACAATTAGGTGCTTTTCGTAGTGTGTGTCCTATCCACTCCCACCGCTTCTTCTTGATTTCCTCCTTCACTGGAATCTGGTTTGTTCTATCTCACAGTACGTTGTTGCTGATCGTGTCTGGCCAACGGATATGAAGTATTTTGCTTAGACAACTGTTAATAAATACTTGTATCTTCTGGATGATGGCTTTCGTAGTTCTCCATGTTTCCGCTCCATACAGTAGAACTGTCTTCACATTTGTATTGAAAATCCTTATTTTGATTTTGGTTGAAAGTTATTTGGAGTTCCAGATATTTTTCAACTGTAGATATGCAGCCCTTGCTTTACCGATCCGCGCCCTCACATCTGCATTGGATCCACCTTTCTCGTCGATGATGCTGTCCAGATATGTAAAGGTGTTAACGTACTCCAAGGCATCTCCATCAAGAATGATTTGGTTGTTGCGTGTTGCGTTGCATCGGAGAATTTAGCGTTTTCCTTTATGTATGTTGAGACCTACTGCTGCAGAGGCTGCTGCTACACTGGTCGTCTTCTCTTACATTTGTTGTTGCGTGTGCGATAGAAGAGACAGGTCATCTGCGAGAAGTCCAGATCGTCCAGCTGCGTCCTAACTGTCCAGTTGATACTGTGCTTCCCTCCAGATGTTGACGTCTTCATAATCCAGTTGATCACCAGGAGAAAGAGAAAGGTTGAGAGTAGGCAACCTTGCCTCACACCGCTTTTCACCTCGAACGAGTCTGTTAGCTGTCATACGTGTACGATTTTGTAGTAGGCCCGTACTAAATCTCGATAATGTGACACAACTCATCATTACTAAATTTTAGTAGCTCAATCGCTAATACTGGGATAAAACAGTTGCCCAGCGGTTTTGCTGTTTCCAATGGTATTCCAGACGGGATCAAATCATCACGAATACAATCTACAAATAATCTGAATTTAATTATTAGAATATGCAAATAAGATGTCATCCTATTTAAGTGCATTATTGAGATATTAATTCCACATCTGATAAGATATTTTCTATTACTTAGTCATTACTAACCATGCGTATTTTGAAATTATAATAAAATACGGAAGCCGATAATTTTCTTTATATCAGATAAACAACGATTGGAATATCCGTATATATATATATATATATATATATATTAGAGGGAGAGAGGGTTAAAAAAGATTGACCGTAAAACTATCAAACCCCATACTACTCCATTCATTTCTGTCGTTCAACAGTAAGACCTTTAGAGAATGTCTAAAACTACTTACAAAATGTTTTGTGTGATGGATCTCAGGCAATTATATTTTGTGCAGTGTGGTCAATACTTTCAGGTAGTAAATCCCTTGTTTTTGAGGAACTTCAAGAAGTATACTTTCAAGGTATTGGCAACCGAGAATCAATAACTGCCCACACACTCCTAACAATAATCAAGATCACCTTGTCCACAGTCAAAGGTGACATATCATAAATAAATGTTTATGTATTTTTATTTGGTGTAAACTTTATCGAAAAGTCAAACGTGTATTCATTAATCAATAAATAAACTCAACCCATTTACCATACAAATATGAATAATAATAATAGTAATAAAGTGCAGAAAAACTAACTAAAAAAAAATCTTTACTTACCGATCATGCCTTAAACGAATACCACGAACATCTGTAGCACAAGTGATTTCTAAAACAAATTGTTGTTTTATTCCATCCCATAAACAAGCTACATTATTTGGTAGACGTGAATGATTACCACCACCTAGTATACCAAGTAAATTTGTACGAAATAACATTTCCATGTAACCGACACCGGTACCATCTCGTATATCGAATTCTTTAAGATATAAGATAATGATAAACAAAAGAAACAGGGGGTAAGGAAAATAAAACAATTTTTTGTTCGCTACCTACTACGGAACGTTAATTTACTCAATGAGGATAGTCAACTTTTAACGAATTAGTCAAAATTCAAATCAGTCTACACAATTTCAATTCGCTCAACGGGGCAGAGTCATTAACAAACACACACAACTAGTATAAATCAAAACAAGACTTCGCCCTCAGATCTTAGGTAGCTGCTTTTAGTCCTACCGTTCACAAATCGACCTGTCTGGCATGATGGGACCTAAAGGAACACAGGTTCCAGCCAATATAGCTAGGTTAAGTCATCACTATAGGCAAACCTAACCACCACGTCAAGGTAGCAGCTACGGTAGGGAATCAATTCAATGATCGAATACTAGTAATATACGAATATCTCCCTATTTTTAAAGGCCATGTGACGACATAGCCGTTAAGTAGAACGAAGCAAACTTCTGAACAGTTAATTCGACCATTAGTTGGTGAAGAAATATCTTCCCTAAGTCACAAGCTGTCGAAGTCAATCAGGGTTTTTGAATTCATACTGATGTGATGCATATGATTAGCAACGTGGCTTACAAGTAGGATGCAGTGGACTGTCGGATAGAAATGCATGGAGCGACCAAAGAATTTTAAAAGCCAAAAGATATGTGAAAGAAGACAGTTAATAAACTGCTTGCACTGCAAATAGATGTCTGAAAATTAGGTGCATATATTTTGTCAATAAACTGCCTTCGCCAAATACACATTATTCTATCCGGTCTCGACTTCTTTGTACGTTACACACTAAAACCTCATCCGATACCAGCCCACTAGATCTAATGAAACTTACAAGATAAAGGATCAATAAATCCGACTACTTCACTCCTTATTCCTAGTCCAGATGTTGACGCAGATCAATCCTGTAGCATTTTAATGGACAGAAAAGCATCTCAAACATGATTGGATTGTTGCCTAAGGTGGTCAGAAGATTACATTTTTCAGCATCGTGGAAGAGATATTTATTATTTGGTTTTAAATGGAAATCATGTTATAGAGTCCCAACATCGAAGCAGAATCCGCGGACCTCCCAATTAATATTGGTGCACATACGATTGAGGAGATCAGTATGGCCATCAGACAAATCAAGAGCGGCAAAGCAGCAGGACCAGACAACATTCCAGCAGAGTCAATGAAAGCAGACGTGGAAGCAACTGCAAATATATTTCACATTCTCTTCAAGAAGATTTGGGATGAGGAACAAGTACCATCAGATTGGAAAGAAGGATACCTGATCAAAATACCAAAGAAACGCGATCTCAGCAAGTGTGAGAACTACAGAGGCATCACTCTTCTTTCAATACCAGGCAAAGTCTTCAACAGGGTATTGTTAAACAGAATGAAGGACTTCGTAGACGCCCAACTTCGAGATCAAAAGGCTGTATTTCGTAAGGATTAATCGTGTACTGACCAAATTGCTACATAAAGGATCATTGTGGAACAATCAATTGAATGGAACTCACCACTCTACATCAACCTCATCGACTACGAGAAAGCATTCGATAGCGTAGACAGGAAAACACTTTGGAGGCTTCTTCGACACTACGGTGTGCCTGAGAAAATAGTCAACATCATACGGAATTCTTATGATGGATTCAACTGCAAAATCGTACACGATGGACAGCTAACAGACTCGTTCGAGATGAAGACCGGTGTCAGGCAAGGTTGCTTACTCTCACTCTTTCTCTTTCTCATGGTGATCAACTGGATTATGAAGAAGTCGACATCCGGAGGAAAGCACGGTATCCGATGGACAGCTAGGATACAGATGGACGATCTGGACTTGGCAGATGACCTGGCTCTTCTATCGCACACGCAACAACAAATGCAAGAGAAGACGACCAGTGTAGCAGCAGCCTCTGCAGCAGTAGGTCTCAACATTCATAAAGGAAAAAGCAAAATTCTCCGATGCAACACAACATGCACCAACCAAATCACTCTTGATGGAGATGCCTTGGAGGACGTTAACACCTTTACATATCTGGGCAGCATCATCGACAACCAAGGTGGATCCAATGCAGATGTGACAGCATGGATTGGCAAAGCAAGGGCTGCATTTCTAAAGTCGGAAAATATCTGGAACTCCAAACAACTTTCAAACAGAACCAAAATCAGGATTATCAATACAAATGTGAAGACAGTTCTACTGTATGGGTCGGAAACTTGGAGAACTACCAAAGCCATCATCCAGAAGATACAAGTGTTTATTAACAGTTGTCTACGCAAAATACTTCGTATTCGTTGGCCAGACACGATCAGCAACAACGTATTGTGGGAGAAAACAAACCAGATTCCAGTGGAGGAGGAAATCAGGAAGAAGTGGTGGAAGTGGATAGGACACATACTACGAAAAGCACCTGATTGTGTCACGAGACAAGCCCTCACATGGAACCCTCAAGGCAAAAGGAAAAGAGGAAGGCCAAGGAACACATTACGCCGAGAAATAGAGAAAGATATGAGAAGAATGAACAAACATTGGACAGAACTGGAGAAGGAAGCCCAGGACAGAGTTGGTTGGAGAAAACTGGTGGGCGGCCAATGCTCCATTGGGGGTAACAGGCGTAAGTAAGTATGTTATAGAGTAAGAAACTCTTCTTTATATACATACAGATTTAAACAAAAATATTAGATAAAAACTCGATTTTTATATGATACATGATTGAAAGAAGTGGATTATAATACATTAGGTTTTAATTACAAGGAAGACTATGTATTTGAAAAAGCAATAAAAATGCAAATCGATTTAATAGGGAGAGAGTATCAACAAGTATAAACTTGAATTTTCTTTGGTAAATCTATTCGTATATTATGTTGACATAGGACAATCATTTTAAACACATGTATGAATTACGATAGATAGCCATGGAGATCACTTTCCTTTCCATAGATATCATGGAGTGATCTCCGTTAAATAGCCACTTAAAATCAGGAATCGATGGGCAACTGTTTTGTTCTAATAAGGAATTCTTAAGCAGCACCCACCAATAACCCCGGCACGACAGATCGAGTCAAACACCTACGGCCTCACGCGCAACAACTTAACCTTTAGACGCAGGGCTAACATCCTACATATGCATGCTGTAGTACACTTGTCAATGCAGAAAAAACGTCACACATGTAAAAATAAAAAAATTCAGGAAACCAACAAGAACATTTTTCATGTTAACTGTGCCGTATTCAGAAAATTATATGACTTTTTCTCATCCATCTAGAAGGGAGAAATTTTCAATAAACATTTTGTTCTAAACAGCTAGAAATATTTGCAACTGTCTATAACGAACCTATTCATAAACCGGAACCTGACAAGCAGGATAAAACAAACAAAATTAGAGCAACAGTTTAGGTTAAAAACAAAAACTTTAATGAAAAGTTACAGTTAGTAAAATAAGGTACTCATCCACAAAAGGAATGGAAAATAACTGAAAATGCTGTGTATGATACGTCTAATGAACATTAAGAACTGTTGTCCGGACGACTTACTTACACCTGTTACTCCCAATCGAGCATAGGCTATTGATCAGCGTTCTCCTACATACTCTCTCCTAGGCCTTCCTTTACAGTTATACCCGGTTGCTGGTCATCCTTTTCATATCTCTCTCCTATTCTCGGAGTTATGTATACTTTGGTTTACCGCTTTTCCTTAGGCTTGAAGACTCCAAGTTAGGGCTTACCTTGTGACGCAGTCCGGTGCTATCCTCAATGTGTGTCCTATCTATCTCCAGCGCCTTTCTCTAATTTCTTCCTTTGCCGGAATATGCTTTGTTCTCTTCCAAGCAGACTGTTCTGATGGTGTCTGGTCAGCCAATATGAAGTATCTTGCGTTGACAACTATGAATAAACACTTGTGTCTTCTGGATGATGGCTTTCGTGGTTCTCCAAGTCTCCGCCCCACACAGTAGAACTGTCTTGACGTTTGTATTGAAAATTGTGACTGGTGTTTGTCGACAGTTGTTTTGAGTTCCACATGTTTTTCAATTGTAGAAATGCTGCCCTCGCTTTGTCAATCCGTGCCTCAATATCTGCATCAAATCCACCTTTCTCGTCGATGATACTGCCTAGCCAATGTAACGGTTCATGCATCTTCCAATGCTTGTCCGTCAAGTGTGATTTAATTAGTGCATGTTATATTGTGTCGGTGGATGTTGCTTATTCCTTTGTGTGTGTGTTGAGGCTTACTGCTGCAGAAACTGCAGCTACACTAGCTGTCTTCGTCTCCATTTGTTGTTATGTGTGGGCTAGAAGAGATAGATCATCTGTGAAGTGCAGATCGTCCAGCTGCACATCTTAGCTGTCCGGAAGCATGGAATACCGAACACACTATATGCTTATTGATTTTATTTACAAGAATATAATAATCATATACATGCATAGTTAATGCTTACCATAACGTTCTAATTGTTTTAAAGGATCACTATTGAAAATTCTAAATCCATTTTGCATACCAACTGCAAAACAACCTGTAACAACAAATTGATGAATACATATGACCCGAATGTAAATGCATAAATTGAGAAGTTAAATTTATTTATTTTTTTCCCAGAGAAGACTAACCTCGAGATTTTTTAAAAAAAAAATAGCTAGATATTTAAAATGAGTTCGTAAGCAAAATAAATATGCATGGGGTTCTAATATGATAAAACAGGAAGATATCTAACATCGATTCTTACAAAACCGATAAAAATGTAAAACATGGTTTTTTAAGAGGCAATATAGTGTTGCACTTGTAGAGCAGTGGATTATTAATGTTGAATCTAATGGCTTTCAATGTTCGGTTTACAAGTTTGAAGCTCATCCCACCTACTACTACTACTACTACTACTACTTCGATTTCATGGGCACAATGTTATGGTTCGTTAAACCAATTACACAACGAGACTATACAATTTGGCAAACAGAACCATTGAGTTTTCCTTTCTTCTAAGCAGCAATGAAGCATACAGAACATCGGTAATCTACTTTAATGATTAAAATATTAATACCTTAGACCAATCATATATAGGCAAAAAGGTAATTGCACACTAATGGCCGATATCTGACTTCGTTTTCTAAACAGAAAATGTCACTGATTGAAAATAGTACATATGTGTCTATATGCTTGTTTTCATATTTCATGCTCATAGACTTTGAGTGACGTTTCAAATAAATTCAGTAGGTGCATCTGACTTCCTTATTTCTTATCTTAACGTCTGTCTGAGTAAATGAGTACCTGAAATAAATTTGTTTAACTTGATCTGTATTTATTACTACCGTCACAAAAACAGGGTTGGCCTAAGTTATATGGAACCAAACGGAGGATTTATATGTATACTGATGGTTGGAGGTAGTCGATAGGAAATCCTAGATCTAAGTTTTGTGCTATTTGGCACTTGTTAGCAAAATATACCTATAATCTCGAGAGAAATAACATTCCTTGGCAAATTCGATCCCGTGTCACCCAGATCCACATAGACGTTGCCTCTGGGCTATCTGGGCTGCAAATGACTCGTCGTAGGACTGATTGGTCATTGGGGAATTTATGCTCACAGTTTATTCATCATTCGTTCCCTTTCTAATAATTTTGGAGTCAGACAACTGGACTATATTCTACATGAGATGATGGAAGGAGTAGGTTCTTTAATGAAAACAGATCTTCCATGATTATGATTGATGCAACGCTTACAGGTACTAGGATAGACTGGTTAAAATATATCATAAAAGCCTAAATTTATTAATACCCTATCTTTTTTTCCAATTTTTTATCTATATCAAGTAATTTAATAATCTTCATTTACTCAAAATCTTATTTCTGCTACACAGAGTATAAATATCAAAATGATATTTTGCAGCGCGAATTTTTTAAGTTTACTTATATACCTATCAACTGCAGACTTATAAACAATTTTAAGATCAAGTTGCTTAGAAAGTAGTTGGATTACAATGACATAAGAAAACTTGAATCAAGTATTCTTCAAAACATAAGTAAACTATAAAACTTTCACTGACTACCTCGAAATGAGTGATATAGCATTTTTATAGAAATTATTTACCATAATCTTGATTGAATCCAACAAATAAAATTCCGCTGCTACCGGAATCAGTTGGAGAAACTCGCATACACATCTGATATGATTAGTAGCATTCACGAACAACGTTCACTGATATGAAAACGGTCTCGCTTTATTAGTTAAATTATGAATTTAAAGGTATAAATCACCATGCTGTAAGAAGAATTTGAAGATAGTATAACAATTAGCATTTCAAAAATATTTAATTAAGTTTTAAAAAAGATTATAATATAAAATGTTAATATTTTCAAAACTGGGGCTTAAGAAAAAGCCAGCTCAGAGAACGAAACACCACCACAATCATCCACCTGAGCTACAAGTTTTCTCCACCATCTCAAGAAAAAGCCTAGTCCATCCTCTCACAAAAAAATACTACTAAGCATACATGAAATAGAACTCATTTATAGATAATCACTAATGCTACTAATTCACACTTTGCAAATAAGAAAATAAATATACAAGTGAGAAAATAGAACTAATAACAAAAAGTAGATTTATATTCGACAACTGAGCCTGTCTCAGTAACTTGATATTTCAAAGAGTACAGCAAGGCTGTGAAATTATTGTTTTGTATTATTGAACCTCAGTGATCTTTTCTATCGTTATGTAATCATTCATATCTTTTCAACCACTGTACTCAAACTTGATTCAATAAAATTAAAAAGGGATAAATAGTTTGATTTTAATGTAAATACTAAAACAACAGGTGTACAGAAGCAAAAACATAAGTGTTGATTTGAGAACAACATATAAAACGATTAGTTTAACTAAGTTGACTCATTGAACGAGGTTTCAATCCTATGGAAAAGTTCATAAATCTTGATTAGTTGTACTAACAGTAAAAAGTATAGTCGGGATAAGCCAATTAGAATCTATAAAGTGACCTTTAAGCTTGTGAGAAATTAAAGCATCACTTACTACTAGCAGTAAGAACACTTTTCTATGCTGATCAAAACGTTCAGAACGACAACGAGAAAGGAGATTGTGTTTAACGCAACAAACGTTCAATCGCCTCTGTATACTACTTAGAACTGGCAGACCGAAACTACACCTAATCCAGAAACAAACCGTAACCTGACAGCACTATATCTTACAGAATAGCTAGTCAAATAGCACTTATGGCGTGGACAGTATGACACTGTAGGACACTCGCGACATTACGAGCGATTGTGGGACAATCAATTGAGTGGAATTCACCAGTTTACATCAACGTCATCGACTTCAAGAAAGTATTTGATAGAGTGGACAGGAAAACACTATGAAGGCTTCTTCAGAACTACGGTGTGCCTCAGAAGATAGTCAGCATCATACGGAATTGAATGATGGATTAAACTGCAAGATCATGAGGGGAGGGCAGGTCACAGATTCGTTCAGAGTGAAGACCGGTATCAGACAAAGCTGCTTACAAGTACCCTTTCTCTTTCTCCTAGTGGTCGACTGGATTGTTAAGACATCAAGATCTCAGGAGAAGCACGGAATACAGTGGACAGCCAGGATGCAGCTGGACGATCTGCACTTCACAAATGATCTATCCCTTCTAGCCGACACACGGCAACAAATGCAGAAGACAGCTAGTGTAGCAGCAGTAAGCCTCAACACACACAAAGGAATAAGCAACATCCACCGACACAATATAACATGCACTAATTAAATCACACTTGACGGACAAGCATTGGAAGATGCATGAACCGTTACATTGCCTAGACAGTATCAGTGACGAGAAAGGTGGATTTCATGCAGATAATGAGGCACGGATTGACAAAGCGAGGGCAGCGTTTCTACAATTGAAAAACATGTGGAACTCAAAACAACTGTCGACAAACACCAGTCACAATTTTCAATACAGACGTCAAGACAGTTCTACTGTGTGGGGCGGAGACTTGGAGAACCACGAAAGCCATCATCCAGAAGACACAAGTGTTTATTCACAGTTGTCAACGCAAGATACTTCATATTGGCTGACCAGACACCATCAGAACAGCCTGCTTGGAAGAGAACAAAGTAGATTCCGACAAGGGGAGAAATTAGAGAAAGGCGCTGGAGATAGATAGGACACACATTGAGGATAGCACCGGACTGTGTCACAAGGTAAGCCCTAACTTGGAGTCTTCAAGCCTAAGGAAAAGCGGTAGACCAAAGTATACATAACCCCAATAATCGGAGAGAGATATGAAAAGGATGACCAGCAACCGGGTAGACCTGTAAAAGAAGGCCTAGGACAGAGTAGGTTGGAGAATGCTGATCAACAGCCTATGCTCGATTGGGAGTTACAGGCGTATGTAAGCATCATAAGATCCTACATTTATGATTAAACTTTACGTTTTTTAAATTTAAATGATAGTATGTCGTAGATTACGCAGATTTTTGGCCATTACAAGTAGCGGCAAGACCATATTTAACGAATGAACCAATCACACTTGAAATGGTGAGTCAGGTTTAGAGCGAAAGTTATTCATCTGTTTATTTCAGTAGCATATTGTTAAAATAGCCTATATCAACTCGTGATGAAAACTCCGAGTTTGGTGCCTAATTCTATATCCCGATATTAACTTATCATACTGATTTTTAACCCTCTTTAGACCCTAGTAAAGAGTTCAATATCCTCAACGTGACTTAAGCATCACTCATTAGTGGTCCATAAATTAGTTTCGCCGAAATGGCGTATAATGTAGCTTTAATCAGCAAATACAGAGCAGGGGTACGGAGTTAAGAGGTTGTTTGACGGAATATGTTGGGCACAGAAGCCTATTATGAAATGACGCTTTTTCGCAAGATTGAAGTTAAGACTGTCAGAGATATTTTGATACCTGGACTGATGATAGTAACGCGATTAACCATCGCACAACAAGGGTAGACCTAAGAAGAACTGCGTCAGCACAGTTGACACATGCTTTTAAGACTGAATCAGTCTCTTGATGAAGTTAAAATAGTGGTTTACATCAGGGAAATTATTGTCCGCAAACCGGTATGATAAAAGCAGGAGTACGTCATAAAACTAGTCCTTCATTCCACTTTGACTAACGGTATTCAGAAGCTTGGAGGAAACACCGTAAGGTGATATCGAGCGGATGGAGAGTCCATAATTCATAGAACTCGGAACAACTATAGTGTTCCTGATAAATTATAGTCTATAACTACGGTTAGAACAGGGTTGAAAATCAGTGCTAGAAATTGGAACTGGAAGCCAGAATTTTAAGTTAGCATTACAAATAGGAACTAGTTTTCTCACTACGAGTTAATATCAGCTTTAATACCAGAATGTAGTTTACTCACATTGACGACTGAATTTTGTATCAGGATTTAAAACTCGCAAACTTAGATTTTATTAGCTTGCCTGTGGATTACAGTCTTACAACAAGTCTATCGTTGAAGAAAATTTTTTTCTTATGATTTATATTTTATGGTACAAATCTACACGCCAACAGTTCTGCGTTAGTACTAATGACTCAATGTAGATAATTTCAATCCTAAACATAATGTCGCCCTAGCTGTTTTACAAAAATATATGTAAAAACATGGAAGATATAGGTTGAGCTTTATTAATCATGTACTAAAAAACTCACAGCAGAGACACTGGCGGGAAACAAAGTAATACAGTACCGCCCTATTTGTATATTCCGCCCTTTTTAGGGAAGTCCAATGTCCAATAGTAGACCAATTGATTTATTTGCTCTTGATTACTTTTCTTCGGTATGGTTCCAAGTACTTTGTGGTGTGGAGCGAAATTTTGAATATAACCATGGCTTCATAGTTACTTGCTAATGTATTGACGTGGCCTCGTTGACTTCCCACCATTTACCGGTGTAGTGCCTCCACATTTATTTGCATCCGCTTACATTTAATTTGCTTAAGCCCTTTCGATTAATTTATTTAACCAAGCCATTTCTATAGCAACAACTCATATATACCATTGGTATTTTTTATCATCTGGTTTGTATGAGCTTATACGACTGAGCATTGCTTACGCTTTCGCGCTTACTCATCCTTTTCGCTGTAATGTTAATCTCTTAATTTTCCCATGAACTCACATGATTTGTATCGCTTGCATTTGACCTTGTCAATCATTCGTCGCTTTTATTCATGTGTGTGCATACCTATTTCGCTTGTCATATGTCTGTCTTATTTATGCCTGACTATATATTCTTAGTCATGTTCTATCTCTTTGAGTTGGCTCAACAGCCTTCTCCAATCCGCTTCGCTCATTCGCTCGCATTGTAGTCCAAAGAGTTGGCTCTTAGCCTTCTCCAATTCGCTTCTCCGCTTCGCTTTGTGGTGTGCCTCGAATAAACGTATTCATCAATACGAGTTCATCTTCTGATTTATAAACCGAGCTTAAGAACACGCGGTTATCCGCACACTACACAGGAAACAATCCATTTTTGGACACCAGAGTGGGATATTTAATCACCCCTGAAGATACAAAAGTTGACTCCACTGTTTGGCAATCTGAGAACAAAGTCGGACAAACGGAATCATTCCAAGTCATGACCACAGTGCAGTAGGTCTCTCTGTCTCGATCAACTGCCCTCGTCCTAGTTGCTTTGGCAGCATACACATATTCATTCACTCGCAAACACTGAACTTGTGGACAAGTTGCTTGATCCACGCGAATTTGCTTGGATGAAGCTCACGTGCATGATGTGCAGCAGTGCCGACGGCTATCACACAGCCTGGTCCTTCAGACCACAGTGGATGTTTGCGGCGCCCGTCACACTTCACGTCCATTAAGTCACCACGTCTGGTGGCAGTGAAATTCAGGTTCGGTATGACTCTAGCCACGCTAGGTGGTGCGAAAGCCGACCCAGATTTGTAAGACAACAGCAGGGAGGCCATAATAAATGCACGAAACTGACGGTTGACCTTCACTGACAACCCCCAGCACAAAACATGAAGATAATAGTTTCGCCGACTGAGTGCACTGCACAGTCAATAAACCCGAAGAGGCCAGTTGCCACAGAACTGGCCAACTCGGTTCAAACGACTTGTTTGAAAATCCGACAACGACCGTTGCTGCAGAGGTGCACCAGGTTATGAGAAAAACCACCAAGTACTTCTAATGCATCATAAGAGGACTGAGGGATAAGCTGTTAGAGGTCAGGAATGTGTACTGAAGGTCCTAATCCTAACTAGAACATGGCTGTCCACAGACATTACAGACGACGAAGTGTGCTTGCAAGGCATGACACTCCTCCGAAGCGATAGGGTACACCAAACAGGACGCGAAGTGGCTAGATATATAAAGAGCCATTTCAAAGCTTAGCGGCTATATGTTACGCTTGCACGTAAACACGTCAACTTGATACACTTGAACTGTTACGAGTTTACCTAGTCGGAAAACGAGAGCGAGGATCGAGGATCCAGTGACACCATATGCGACCCAAATCCGATTATCCCAGCCCCCCATATCGAGTAAAAATAAAAAGACTTGATATGAAGTAGAACTTGTATTATTCAAGCATCCAGAAAGTACGAGGTCTGAATTCAGAAGAGAGTCAGAATCCCGGACTAGGGATCCGGGACAGGGTTCTAGTCCTGGTCACAAAACGTTACAGATAATGCGTAATATAGATTTTGGTCGAATAGAAAATAGCATCGAAGTCTGTTACATTGACAGTTAAGACGACCAATGAGAAACAACATTGGAGTACGTGACATTGATATCTAGGACGACCATAAAATTGACCAGTAGGGATCAACCAATAAGAATTGACCAATTATTCTCTTGGGATATTGGATGAATATTCTAACACTTTACGACATCCGACTAACTGAGCTGACAGAATCTTGTTGGTGTGTTTTCCACACAAATAGCAGGAAATACTTGATTGGAGGGGTTTACCGACCTCCCTCAGTCACTAAAGCTGAGAAAGATAAACTGACTGAGGCAATACTTCAACTGCCGCTACTTTGGTTTGATCAAATACTCTGAGCTTGAGATTTCAATATCCCATCTCTAAATCTCAGCTATCAGTGTACAACTTCCACTAGTTGGTTCCAAAGACGACTTGGAGCAGCTGTTTGAAGCTCTGAGCATACTGCGCACATATGCAGTGCCACTAGATGGACTAAGGAGGGAAAGTACTCATACCCGAAATATTTGTTAACAAATGATCAGCTCCTGGTCGAGGATGTTCACGTCCATATACCAGTAGGAACTAATAACCATGGTACAGCCTTGCTTAACATGTTCATCAGCTAAACACTCCTGAAGGATGAAAACCAGCTCATCTTTGCTACACTTGAGCGAATTGTGCGCGCATGAGAGAGAACCTTCTACATGCTTTATGGCCACACGAGTGGTGGAGGCTGAAAGTAGATGATCACTAGCAAATAGTGAGAGCCATCATCCAGAATGCTGTCACAGACAATGTACCTCAGTTACACCACACACCTGGAAATAGAAGAACATGGGTCAGGCGCGGCACTGAACGTTTACCACGGGCAAGAATGAGAGCCTGGCAAAAGCGGAAGGTCTCCTTGAGGGAATGAGATCTTAGTTCTTACTTGGCATTGAGAAACAGATGCAATTCCAAAGTTCCAAGTGATAGGAGACGCTTTCAGATGGAGCTAGCTGTCTAAATGCAGGCAAACCCTAAGCATCTGCTTAGGTTCATGACAAAAAGAAAACGTACGAATCAGTGTTTGTGTTATCTGAAAGGTCCTAATGGGGAAGACCTCAACAACCTAGAGATGGCTGAGATCTTACATACAAACTTCACTAATAAGTTAAACCAGGTATCCACCTGTTCAAAATTCTACTATGTTCATATTACTCCTGACTTAGTACTAAGGAAGCTAAAATCCTTACGCCCAGGAAAGTCACCAGTTTGTGACAATATTCACCCCATAGTCTTGAAACAACGCGCAGAAGTCCTCTGTTTACCGATATGTGACCTTTTCAGGCATTAACTGGAGTCACACCAACTCCCAATGACATTGAAACAAGCTACTCTCTCTCTCCAGTCTTCAAAGGATGAGATAGGAAAGACCCAGCCTGTTACAGTTCAGTTGCATTACTTCCAATACTATCAGAGGTGATGGAAGGGTTGATGAAGGAACAGATGAGGGAGTACATGAATAAGAACAAAATACTCCATGAAGCTCAACACGGGTTTTGGAAAGGCAGGTCGTGCGTATCCAATCTTCTCACAGAAAGAGACAGTTGGACATCCTTCTGGGATCGAAAAATACCAGTGCACATAATATTTTTAGACTTTGAGGAAGCCTTCGACACCAAATGCCACGCAAGCCTAATCGCAAAGGTTGCGGAAATGGGCTTCACTCATCCACTCCTATCTTGTCTCAAAACTACCCTGAGAATAGGAAGTTTCGTACCAAGGTAAATCGAGTGCGAGAGTTGGCGACTTTCAATATCTGGAGTTTCACAGGGGGCTATCTTAGGTCCACTTCTCTTCCGGATACTTATTAACGACTTTTCAGACAATTTAGTTCGCCGTCATTGATTTACGCAGACTACGCAAAGATCTGGTGGTCCATTAGGAGCGAAGAGGATTCAACTGAGCTTCAACATCCACTGAGGAATGGGCAATGAAAAACGGTTTAAAATTAAATAAGCCGAAATGTCACGCCATGTACATTCTGCCCTTCATGATGCAACAGATTTACACCCCCAATGGAATTCCGCTACCTAATGTCTCCTTAGAGCGCGATCTCGGTTTAATAACCAGTGGAAGCCTCCACAACAGCTCGAACCATGTAGGGGCCGCAGCCAAGGCAAATGCAACTCCTCGCTTTATGAGAATACGACTGGGTGCAATCACCCCACAATTATTCGTAACGCTGTTCAGGACATATGCAGACCCAAACCTTGGGGTTCATAACGTCGTCTCACCCCCCAAATAAAATCTCTTAGATCGAGTGCAGAGACGAGCAACGAAATCGGTGATGGGGTTGAAAAATAAAACTTGCGAAGATAGACTCCAGCACTTGGGATTATTCCCCCTGAGTTACAGGAGAATCAGAGGTGATGTGATTATGGAATACAACATATTAAGCAGGCAAAACCATCCTACCGGTGCATCACCACCACTCCCCTCAAGGTAATCCTCAAAAAATTGCCTATCAGGAGCTAATACTCTGGTTCGTGAACACTTTTTCTAATTCAAGTTGTTGCAACTTGGAACGCTCATTCAGCAGAGGTAACAACGGCATCCTCAGTGCACAGATTTAAGAAGGGACTTGATAAACATTTGCTCACATAGGGATTGTCATATCCCTCGTGGACAAGCTGTGCCTGATGCATGTCTTGAGACTTGCAAGTCGTTATTATTACCATCTCCTCAGGTCACTAATTTAATGTATCGCGCCTATTATCTCCCTATTATCTCTCTCCTTTTCCCAGACTTCAATTCTATGGCACAATCTTCACTACCAATTAACAAAATTAATTATCTATTTGTATACTTAGTTCTTAAATCCTGTTATTACCATTAGACTTTTCTCCTTATTACTCGTCTCATTTCAACTGACTGCACAGCGGTCTGGTAATGTGATAACTGCTGGTATCCAAAAACCAACAAACCTGAAAAAAATTATTTGCGAAATTCAAAAGACATGCAAAATCAAAAACAACCGCAAACGGAAAAAATAATAGAGTCTAATGATTTAAATAACTAGAAA